TATTAATAAGTGCTTTTTCCTTCCAAACAGGTATTTTTTGCATCGGTGAGATCCGGAGGAAGCAGCCAAGTGTTTTTCATGACCCTCAACAGAAACTCCATGATGAACTGGTAACAGAGGAGCACTTGGCACTCACCGCCATGGCATTATTTCTAATTTAAAGGACATTAAACTCGTGGACTAACACTGTAGAGGCAGGTGCGGAGGGCGCCGAGGAACCCCCTCCCCACGCTCCCCGGGGCAGGGACTGCAGCCAGGGATGGACTTTCACGCTTGGACCCCCCGAGGTCTCCTGATTACGCTGTGTTATAGTGGGTTATGAGTTTTCCTTTATTTTATTTTATTTTATTTTTTAGTTTTACTTTTTTTCTTTGTCCCCCTACTTTGTAAGAACGGGGAAAGAAACAGTGTCAAAAAGTCTGTTTTTAATTCTGTCTGCCTGCTAGCATCAAATATATAGTATGTTGTAAAGTTACCAATTAAATCTGGTGAGAGACAGCACAATAAATGTACCTTTTATCTTTGTGATGAAGGCCATAATCATATAGCTGGGTAATTTTAGAAATCTTTTGCCTTCACCAACATTTACATGTTGCTTTTGGCAGCAACGGCTTAACGGATTTTTAAAGAAGAGAAAAAATAATAGGTTTTTTTCCCCTCTTTTGGGAAATGGATTTTAAATGGCTAAACTACTAGCCTTAGACTAATAAAAATCAGCTACCATTTTTGTCAAGTCTGTCAATCCATATTTCTATATGGATCTTCACATAATGGTGTGTCTTGATAGGGACAGAGGTGCCATTTCTTGTTGCTCCGGAGGTGCCTGCCTTGCCCAGGGCTTGGCCACGGGCACCGGGACAGGGGATCGGAGGAGGAGAGGACAGGGGAGCGGTCAGAGGAGCCCCGTGCTCGCCCCTGAGGGGGATTTGTGACTGCAGAGCCCCTGGGGTGCTGTGGGCACCAGACCCTGCTGCTGAAGCCGGTGCAGGTTGTGGGTGCTGGTTCCCCCGAGTCCGGAGCCGGGCACTGGCGTGCGGGAGCAGCCGGCACAGGGATGGGGACCACAGAACAAGCTGCCTGTCCCCCATGTTCTGGATTGGGCTTGTAAAGAGCTTAAAAAAATATATATATGTGTGGTTTCTTCGGCCAAGGGTCTGAATCTACTTGTTTTCCACCCCCTCCACTCCCTAGGAATTACCCAACATACAGTGAAAGACAACATCTGTGCCGAACCGTGTGTGTGTGTTTAGTTCAGGTTGAATCGTGTCCTTATAAACTTTGCTCAGTTGATTTCTGTTTTCAGTGCGTATCTGGGGTTTTCTTTCTCAGTAGCTGCAAGCATGGCCGCCTGTGGTGTTGGGGTGTCGCATAACAAGGTCTGTGTTGCTGGTTTTAACCTACCTCGTTTCGGTTGGGGTTTGTTTTTTGGTTTGGTTTCGTTTTATTTTTTTTCCGTTCCGCTGTCGATCACAGCGCTGTTACCTCCAGCGACATATAGAGAGCTTAACTGGCAATCTTGGTGTACTCAGTAACGATGGCTTTATTAAAAAATGATTAAATCAACAGGACTTGGTCAAACTCGAATCTTTATCGAGGGTAAGAGGTGATGTGGGGTGGTGGGGATGGGATGGGCCGGGCCACCCTCACCTGAAGCGTTCTGTGGGCAGGGTGTCAGGGTTGGTACCGCAGGGATTGCCAGCAGTGGGACTCCCAGGATGTGGAGTTCAGAGAAAAACAGGTGGGATGGGCTTTGTGGTGCTTTGTTGAGCACCAGACACCCTCCTGTTGGGCTGGTGCAGCCTGGAGAGTGTAGGGATGGCCACAGGATCAGATAATGGTATTCAAATCCCATCACAAACACTGATTGCCACCAGCTCTTTGTATTTTCATTGTGGTTAAAATAAAAATCAAATAAAGCCCAGAGCTTTTATTGTGTTGCAAACTGATAACTGTTTTGGGGTGTTTTTTGTTCTACTTCAAGTGACAAATGCACAGCTTTGGATGATTTTTGTTATTACTGGGTTTTGCATACAGTGATGAAATAGCAGGCAGTCATTGAGTTTAAACGACTCAGGTGGTTTGTGAATGTATTTTTTTAAATCTCAGAATAATTTGAAACAAAAATCACAGAAGCCAATATTACTGCAGTCTTGTCTGTGGCATGTGTGTATGGAGATAACACAGAGCAAATGCTTTTCTGGTGCCAACCACAATAAAACACAAAACTTCACCATTAAGCCATGCCTTTTATGTTTGGGTAAATAAAAACTGGGGTATTGGAGGACATGGAGGTAAAGGGGATTTTCAGGGCTCCCAGTCACAATGCTCTTTGTCTGCAGACTCTTGGGAAGGTGGTTTTGGAACAAGATGAGTGCAGGGAGGTGGGACATGTCCTTTGTAATGCTGGCCAGCAGTGAGCAGTGGCCAAAGGATGTCTTGATGGACCATCACCACCTGAAAACTCCTCTTCTACAAGATCAACCCATGGCTATTCTAAAGATATTTCCCCTCCAAATGTTACGAACTTTGATTTGCTTTTCTTTTGCTGTAAGTAAAATGTGCTTATGGTTGATTAATGCTCTCAGAAACTACTTATTAGTAGTGTTTGAAGAAACAAAACCTGCACCTCATTTTAAAATCCTGTTTCTGGGACTTTTTGCCCAGGAAAGGAAATGTGTTCAGCTGAGTGGTGTCGCAGGAGGAAAAAGCAGTAATGTCTGTGCATGCAGGGGTTGTTGAACCTGTTGCAGATTCAGTTATTTATAGAGTTGCTATGAAATTGTATAAGTTCAGGGATGAGTCATGGTAAATGGAAGAAGAGCCCTGGGAGCTGGATGAGGCCATGCAGGGGCCGTGCTTAGCTCCACCACCCTGGGGAGATGCTGGGTACCACTGCCACAGGTGAAGGATGCTCCGAGGTAAGGCTGTAGCAGCTACTCGTGGGAACTGAATCTTTTCAAACCTGTTTCAGAATTATTATCAAATGGCTTTTTTCTTGTTGTGCAGTGGTTTGAGGGTTGACACTGTATTTTGGAACAGAACAGGGATGCTCGAGGTGACACTGGCCCCAACCCCAGAGCTGGACTAATTGCTGGAAATGGTTGAAGTTAAGCTGCAGTTCATTGTCTCAATGTGAGCCCACTTAAGGTCTGCTTGTGCAACAATTTGATGCTCTGTGCTTGGGACCAGCACGAGCATCGTGCAGGCCAGCAGAGACTGAACCTGCCTGTCCCCAAAGGAGTGGGGTGGAGCTCCACATCACACCCTGCCTGTGTCTGGGCTAAGCCACCCACCCAGCACGGCTCTGAGGAGATCCAGCAGAGATTCCTCAGCAATCAGGATGCATTTCCTGGCACAGCTGCTGCTGCCCTGCAGCATCCATGTCCTGCCCTGTGCTGCAGTTGGGACCTGCAGCTGGAGAGGTTTGCTGGGTTTGCTTCCCAGTTTTTCTCTCTGGGAGATGCTGCACCACCCAGAGCTGGGGGTGGGAAGGGGCTCATTAACCTCTGGTATCTTTATAGCAGTGCTGTAAATGCACCAAATTCTCTCTCTTAAATGTGTTTTATCAGCCTCAGCTGCTGTCTCACATGTGGCCCCAGCACTGCTGCCTGCCCCAGCTGATGTGCTTAGAGAGATGAGCGAACATAATTTTGGTTTTGTGCCAGCCACTGATGTGCTGCACCAGCCTGCTCTTAGAGAGCCAGCGTCTTGCAGACCAGATCTGCCTTTTTGTTTTGGTTTGATTTTGCTTATGGCATTCTTTTCCTTTTTTTCTTTTTTTTAACATCAAAGCTGTCTCTGAATGACCCAGAGCAGTAAAATGGATGTGCAAATTGTCCCAGCACCTGGGGATAGCCTCACAGCCCCTCTGGAATCTTTGAATTCCTTGCACTGAGGTGACAAGAGTGTTCAGCTGTTCAAAAACAGAGCCCCACCATAAACTTTAGCCCATTGCTTTTATCACACATAAATTATCAACACTACCAATTACACTACACACAACACAGAGCAGGCAATAAGCGTGGCAATTCTGTCTAACATTGTGCACAGTTCTTGCCCTTTATTATTTAAATAAAGCATTAGCAGTAATGCAGACCCTGTTGTTTGTCCATCACCTAAACACTGCCTGGCCAGGCTCAGCTGTTGCTTTGGGCTGTGCTGTGCCACTCTGCACCCTCTGGACTGTGATCTAAACTGGCTGTCAGATGTGCAAGAGATCTGATGGGTAGATCATTCATCCTGGTGGAGCCAGGCCTGGTTCTTTATCCTGTAGGAACACTATGCTGCTTTCTGCCAAGCTGACAATTAGCCCCTTTGGGAAATGATTGCAGTGAGAGGAAGATTTACACACCAACCTTTCCCATGTGTGAGCCTCGGGACCAGCCTAAAGCTAGTCACCACATCCACATCCAGCCCCCTGTTCAGAGAATCACAGAGTCTGGAGTCTGTTAGTGCCACTGAGAGTTCGATATGTTAAACACTAAATTGCCTGGGGCCAAGCTGTGGGGGAGTGTGTCACAGCCCAGCTGGCACCAGCCAGGGGCTCAAAGGCAGAGGTGAGGCAGCCCTGGCACTGCATCTTGCCTGGCAGGGAGGTAAGAGGGGCCAGGGAGGGGTGGGAAAAGCCCAGGATAACTCCTTCCTTTTGCCAGCAGACCTGGCCAGGGCACACGTGTGGCTGCAGGGCTTCCAGCCTTTGGCATCCAAAGTTTCCATGGAAGTCGAAGGGCTGCTCCTGGGGAGGTGAGTGATGTTCCTCCCAGCACTGTCCAGCTGCTCCAAACCCCATCCCCAGGAAGCCAGATCACAGGAAGGTTCTGCTCTAAGTAGCAGTGGCCAGGACATGGAAAGGCCACCCTGCTCCTTGGTGGCCTTTGATCTCTGCAGTTGCAGTAGTCTGGGAAGAATAGGGAGGGAAAGCATCACCCTCTTTGTGCCAGGCACCTGCAATAGGATGGGGATCCCTGAGAGGTACATGGGAATCCTGGAGGGGGACATCTGTCCTGGCAAAGGTTTTCACAGTGCTTGAAGGTTTGGTCTTGGGTCAGGGCCCCCATTTGTTTTCTGATTCCAGCCTTTGCAGCCTGGTAATTGTCAAATCCTGACAGTCCCATTGTGAAGGTATTTAACTGCAATGCAAAGAAACTGCTTGTAAATGCCTGGGTATCCACACACAGCGAGCAAACAAGCACCATTGGCAGAGATCTCAGCGGGAAGGACAAATATTGGGGAAAACTAAAAAGCTCAGCCTTGGGGCCCTTCCTGTCACGACTACACCAGGCTTGGAGGGGAATGCAGGTGCTGTGGCTGGAATCAAAGCCTGCTTAATGTAATGAACTTTCCTCTCCCAGTTAAAGTTTTACTTTACTGGAGACCAGTGCAAAGATTAGTGGTCTTACACTCATCTTTGTTGTTTTTTCTCTCGCTCTTCTTCTGTAGAAAGTACATTTTGTGCCCATGTGAAGCCTGGCTGACTGAGAGCATCATCCAATGAGTGCTGTAGCTTGGCTGCCGGACCCATCAGGGGCTGATCTGGAAGATAATGACTTTAATCAGCATTAATCACCTTCCTGGCTGACTCAGGCTTTGGCACGCTCTGCTGTCGCTAAGGATGCCACTGTCCCCCCCACCCCACCCCACCCACCCCGGCCCTGCAGCTCCTCTCTCTGACCACGTCAAGGACAGCGAATCCCAAGCCTGAGCAAGACCAGCTCAGACCAGCCTGTGCAGATGTGCAAAGTTCGTGAAAGCCATGTGAGCTAACGCAAAAATATTTGGCAGCATCAGTAGTATTGGGCAGCATTGGCAGTACTTCCCAGAATCCACAATATTTGGATACCAGCCACAGCCATCAGCTGGTGGTGCTGAAAGGCTCGCTGTTCACACCACTGTAGGATTCTTAATGAAAGCCTCTTTTTCTGTAACATTCTAGGTAATTTTATTGTGTTCTGTGTCCAGCAATCTCCTCTGGTAGGTGTGTACAGGCATTAGAGCTGCCTGCTGAGGGGCTCTGTGTATGCAGGTGTCTGTGTATGGTTACACAGAGAGACCTGCATACATCTTGTGTTTATATGTGGCTCCCTATGTGATATACACACAGGAATATATTTTAAAGCAGGTGCTAAATGCTATTTAAATAAAACTCTTAGTCATTTTCTAGCTGCTTTGCTACATGTGCTGGAGAGGTTTCTTCTCCCTGATTCAGCAAGAGGATTGTGGTGTGACATGCACACCCCGCACAGAAGCCAAGGTAGGTGTTGAGCATCTTGAAACAGACTCAAGTCCCTGGCACATCACATTCCCAACTGTTCAGCTGAGGGACAGCCCCAGCCCAGCCCTGCAGCTGGATCATTTGAATTTTCCAGATCCACTCTATGTCTTTGCAGGTCTCTCATTGTTTCGTGTGTGTCCCAAACACGGGGATTGGTGGTGCCTGCTTTGAGCTGAGCGGTGGCCAAATAATGCGTGGAAGACTTGGGTTTCTCATTAACTCCAGAGTTGATATAGTCCCATCTCTCCAAGCACCAGCCTCTTTTCCTGCCTCCATCCCAGCTCTGCTGTCCTTCCTCCCCTGGCCAAGCCCTCACCTTGCTCTGCAGCCCAGGACAGTGGCTGTTCCCAGAAGGAGAGCGGAGGAGCTGCAGGGTGGATGAGAAAAGGAATATGCAGACAGAGAAGGTAATCATGGCTCTCTGATATTCTTGCACTAGACTTTGTAGTGAAATTACTAGAATTTCTGCAGACTCCAGCACTGAGAAATCCCTTGCCAAAACCAAGACAAAAAAAAAAAATTCCCTCCACTAATTTATTGTGCACAGGGGCAAAGGGGAAAAGGGTCAAGGGGCTATTTTTATTTTTAAGAGCTCTGTTGGCTCATTGGATAACTTTAACTGTGATGGGAGGAAGAAATGCTTTAAACAGCACTGCTGAAAAACACCCTTTTGATGGTTTTTTCCCAGCTGTTGTGCTCCAGGGATGGGGATGGGGAACAATACACTGCTGCTGCTGCTGTTTCTTGCAGTGCTCTGCTGGGCAGAGCTTTGGCTCCCACAAGCTCCAGGGCCAGGATGGGCAGTGGAGCAGGGAGAGCTGGACTGCCACTGTAGGGCAACACCACTCTGCCCTGGGGGCCTGATCTTGCCTGTGTCCATGGGCTTTCCTTCTCCTTTGGAGCAAGTCAACCACCTGTGCTGCTGCAGCAGCATCCCTGGATGCCACTGTCCCAGCCAGCTGGGCAGAGGAGTCCCCTGGGATAGGGGTGGGATGCATCCCTCCCCAGTTTTGGCACTGCTAGGACAGTATGATGAGGTTGTTCTCTGCTTCCTGCCCCAGCACCTCACAGGAACATTGGTCCTCTCCGTCTTCACTGCAGTGTTGGGCTTCTTCCAGTATGGCTACAGCCTGGGGGTCATTAATGCCCCCCAGAAGGTAAGTTGAGTCCCTCAAGCTGTGCATGGCCAAGGAACTATGGCCTCAGGGCAGCCAGGGCCAGTTTGTCCCTTGCAGAAGCCCTCTGGAGGACTCTGTTCCTTCCCAGGTAGTTTCTCCCACAGAACAAAGCTCCCACAACAGGGCAGCGGGGTGAGAACACAGCCAGGGCCCTCCATTGACACTTCCCCAGGGAAAGGAGTGGGGTTCTGCACATAATGGAGCTGTCCCCACTGCAACATGGACCCTGTGCCCAAACCAAGGGGCTGCACCCCTCCACCAAATCCAGTGCCAAATCCAAAACCCCGCTCAGCCCAGCCCCGGGTCGGGGAATGCTTTGTGCCTGCCCTCGTGGTCCCTCCCTGCTGGGGTCTGGGTGCTGTGGAGCTGAGGGACCCCAAGATTTACCCCTGCAGAGCCTGCAATGCAAATCATTTTCTGAGGCAGAATAAAATCCAAAACAGGGGTTGGGGTGGTTATAGATCTGAGCTGACGGTGTTTTTCTTCTTTACCTGTCACAGGTGATAGAAGCACACTACGGGCGCGTGCTGGGCATTGTCTCCCCGGACACACACACCACCAATGGCTCTGGGGAGGATGGCACGTTCCTCCAGGCTGGCACAGAGGGCACGTTCCCACCCCCAGCTGACCTCAGCGAGGACCCCGCTGCCTCCCCACACCTCCTCACCATGTACTGGTCCCTGTCTGTGTCCGTGTTCGCCGTCGGTGGCATGGTCTCCTCCTTCACCGTGGGCTGGATCGGCGACCGCCTCGGGAGGTGAGAGGCTCCTGTGTGCTCTGTGCCACAGCCCAGACCCTTCCCACAGAACCATTTCCTCCCTCTAGAAATACAATTTGTGTTATTTTCAGCAATTTAGGGCAAAAAGGAAAAAATAACTATCCCAACTTCCAAAATACTGTTTCAACCATCACAGAGGTCAGGCTTTTTAAAATCCTGTTACAAATCGGACATTTTATTGCAACTTGAGTATTTCAGATAGCAGCTAATGAGCAGCCTTGATTAAGTACTGAATTCCCCCTTTTCTTTCCATGGCAAAGGGAAGAGGAAGACATCTGCATGGTATTTGCACAGGATGTAAAGTATCATTTATAATATCATGTTAACTACTTTGATTGTTCCCTGGTCCCTGTATTTTGCAGTGCCTGCTATCATTGTTTTTCCCCTGTAGTACTGATTAAGTGACTTCACAGTTCCTCTTGTGTGTTGCAATGGCTGCTTTGGCTGAGTGAGGTGCCAGAGGAGCTGTGCTGCTGCTGCCTTGCAGAGTCAAAGCCATGCTGGTGGTGAACATCCTCTCCATCGCTGGGAACCTTCTCATGGGGCTGGCGAAATTTGGGCCATCCCACATCCTCATCATCTCCGGGAGAGCAGTCACGGGGCTGTACTGCGGTGAGTCCGGGCTGGGTCAGCCACTGAAAGCAGTTCCTTGGTAGTGTGTCCAGGGCTGCAGTTCAAAGTTTCCCATTTTTTAAAATCCTTTTCTTAGTTTAGAAGGGGTTTCACAGGTGGGAATTTCCCTCTTCTCTCTATGTCTGCCCTTCTTGATCTAGGATCTTTCCCAGAAGTGTTTGGGTTGGCTCTATCATATCTTCATTTTACACATCCTGAAAGGAGCTGGTCCCTCTGTATCTCGAGGATGGATCTTGCTGGTGGCTGTTGTAAGAGCACATCACTAGCCAGGCTGGTTAACAGATTCCCTGGCCAGAGAGCACAGGACCAGTCTGCCCACAGAGAGAATATAGCCAGCAAATAGTTGGGAATTGCATTAGAATTAGCTTGGAAATAACATCTCTTTATACTGTTACTGGTATGCAAATACAATACTCCACTCTGAGGTTTCAAGACAAGTTTTAAGAAGGCTCTTTGCCCTGTGATAACTTCTCCCAGCAGATAATCCCTGCTCTGTGCTCTGACATGTGTGTTGAATTAAAAGGTTCCCCAGTTTGGGGCTCTCAATGCAGGGACATCCCAGCACCTTTCCAAGGTGCAGGTGGTTCCCAGCCAGGTATGAGGGGCTTGGTGGGATGTGGGGTGCAGCACACAGGCTCCATCCTCCTTTCCCGTTTGGGAAGTGATTTCTGCTGGTTGCTGAGCTGTGTCTAGGAGAGGTGACACCCACGTGTGCTCGGTGCAGGGCTCTCCTCTGGACTAGTGCCCATGTATGTCAGCGAGGTCTCTCCCACCGCCCTGCGAGGAGCGCTGGGGACGCTGCACCAGCTCGCGATCGTCACGGGCATCCTCTTCAGCCAGGTAAGCAGGAGAACACACACATCCAGAGAGGGTGTTTCAGAGAATAGGAAGACCATAGTGATATACTGGGCTATTGTTCACCATTCCACCCCAAAACTGAAGGAGTGTGCAAAACAATCTGTTTTAATGGGGTTAAACCCCTGCCTTCAGTAAGAGGTGTCTTAACAAAGACAACTCCCCAAATAAAGAAATAAAAAATACTTCTGCAAACAATTTCTTCTCTCCCTGAAGAATTGTTTTCAGCATCTCATTAGTGTCAGGCTGGATCCTGAGCATGAAACCCTGATAATCAGGTTCTCAAAAATGGCTTCATCAGGGAAGTAGGGAGCCCAAAGCCCCTACCAGTATTGCCCACCATGGCACAAGTCCCAGCTGCACAACAGGGGGGCACATAAATGTACAGAAAACAAACATATCCAGAAAAAGAGTTGGTATTTGCCTTTAGTTTTCCCCCAGCTTGTTATTTCAAAACACAGTGGTCAATTGCTTTCTCTTCTTAGGGTGCAAAATGATCCATTCAAATATGCCTCAATTATTCCAGATCCTTGGACTAGACTTTCTTCTGGGCAATGACGAGATGTGGCCCCTGCTCCTTGGTCTGTCTGGCGTGGCTGCCCTGCTGCAGTTCTTCCTGCTCTTACTGTGCCCTGAGAGCCCCCGATACCTTTACATCAAACTGGGGAAGGTGGAGGAAGCTAAAAAAAGTAAGGAAGATATTCTGGGCTTGCCTAGGGTTGCTTTTATACTTTACATAGTGCAAAACAGAGAAGGAAAAGCCTGGTTGAGGACTCATGTGTGACTGTGGCTGCTCCATCTCATGCTCTGAGCTGCTAAGATACAAACTAGCTCTGGATCAAAAACTATTGAGACATTTGCATGGGACCAAGCAGCACTGCTGAGGGATGAGGCTTGAGAGTGATCTCAGGGCTGCTGCAGAGTGATGTGCTGCTGCCCCAAAGCAGATGCACCCTGGATCCTCAGGTGTGCCATAGGAACCCTCAGAGCAAGAGGATGCAGCTGTCCATGTGCTTGGCTTACCTTGAGTTTTGCCTAAAGAGATTCTTGTCCCTACAGATACAACTTATCCACCACTGAAAATAAAATGTCAATCTTTTTTTTTCCCTAAGATTTGAAAAGGCTTAGAGGAAACTGTGACCCAATGAAAGAGATTGAAGAGATGGAAAAGGAAAAGCAAGAAGCTGCTAGTGAAAAGAAAGTCTCCATAAGACAGCTTTTCACCTCTTCCAAGTACAGGCAAGCTGTCATTGTGGCGCTGATGGTGCAAATATCCCAGCAGTTCTCGGGAATCAACGCGGTGAGTCTCCCCAAAGTGTTTGTCTCTCAAGAGATCCATGCTCAGCATGACAAGGCAGCTCTGGCTCCATCCAAGCCATGCAGAGATGGAAGAACACTTTCCCATGGCTGCTGTGGGCTCCTGGGTCCCTGCCAAGCTGGCTCTGGGAGGGCAGGAGGGGAGAAGGGTGGGAGGGAGTCCAGCACAAAACCTGCAGGCCCATGCTGAGCCCTCCCATGACCCTCCCCTACCCAAGTCTGTCAGCAGTTTGCTCTCTTTAATGACATCATGCTCATCCCAGAATCACTATTTTCTAGCTAGTTTTAGCTAAACAACTTTTGTATCACCTTCTGGAATACCAGAAATCACCATCAGAAGCTTTAAGGAGCACACAGGGATGCCCAGCCTACCTGGCTCCAGACCATGCCCACCCCATCCACCAGCCACCCTTTACCTCCTGCCCTTAACTCCCACCAGAAAGGAATCACCTTATTCTTGGAGAGAAGAAAGAAATAGGAGTCATTGCAATGAGAATAATTTAAAATGAATGTAAAACTTGGCCATACTAAGATTTTTGTCTTGAGTGCTCAGTGCTGATGATCTGGATTTTAGGATTAAACGTAGACTACATAGAAGAAAACAGATTTAATGTGCAAATGCAGTAGCTCAAAAGGGGAATTTAAACAGGATTTTTAACTCCCTCAGCCTCCTATGAAATGTTCAGCTTTGATTATTATAACAAGCCATTAAAAGTTGAAAAATTAATCATAATTAAATTACGCCACATCTCAGCCAAGCAAGTGTAACTCTTCCCTCATGAGAACAAAAAGTTTCAACAGCCTTGTTGCCTAATCCTTCATCCTGATGTATTCTGATAGATCTTTTACTACTCCACAAACATTTTCGAGAGAGCTGGAGTTGACCAACCAGTTTATGCAACCATCGGTGTTGGAGTGGTGAACACGGTCTTCACTGTTATCTCTGTAAGTAAATACTTCTGCCCCCTGGACTACAGACACACATAAGGTACAGTGTGGTTTTGAAACATGATTTTCTCCTGGAGCTGGGATTTGCAGTGTTGCAGGACCCCGAACACCTTACAGGTAAAAATCATTCCCTGGGCAAGTTTAATTCGAAAATTCAAGCCTTGACATAGAGCACGTGGCTATTGATCAGCACTGCTAAATGCCCCGTGAGTGGAAACTGCACCACTGTGTTCAGGGCAGCTCTGAAAACCCTGCATTTCCCCCCAAAAGAAAAGTTGCCCTCGGGACTGCAATTCTGCAGGTCCTATTTCCCCAGGGAGCTGGCAGGGGATGGGGGCTCTGGTGGGGAAGTCACCAGCTCCCGGTCTGCTCTTAACTGTTATCTTTCAAACAGTTTTCTGTATGTACATAGCACCTGCACAAGTGATATACAAAGGCTATGCCACAGTAATAAAAGTAATCCAGCACCTATCCTCATCCTGTCTATGCAGGGCTCTGCAGCAATAAAAGGGTGGGTCTGTTTCCACAGGCCTTCCCTTCATTTGTCTCTCTCCTGAGAGGATTAACACAATTCCTATCAGCTGGCAATTCGTTTTATAAAGTGGCCATAATATAAGATCAGGAAATGCCAGGCCTATTTCCCTCATATCTCTCTAGAGATTTAGGGAGTAAAGAACTTTCACCAACATGATGCAGGACTGGCTGCAAGGCAGAGATACACAGCTCCAAGAGATTTAGGACAAGGAGACAATTTTAAACTGACAGATAAGAGGATTTTATTAGATATTAGAAAGAAAATCTTGTCTGTGAGGGTGGTGAGGCACTGGCAGAGGTTTGTTAGAGAGTTTGTGGATGCCCTGTCCCTGTCCAAGTCCAGGTTTGGTCTTGTGGAAGGTGTCCCTACCTATGACAGGGGGTTGAAATTGCATTATTTTTAAGGTCTCTTCCAACCTAAACCAGTTGTTCTCCAGTGTGTATGAGAGAGGACATCTTGGAGTAAACCTGCTTTAGGGAAAGCCCAGTGTAGGCCCCATGAGGAGAAAATGTGATGTTTATTGTGAAATGAAGCACAGAGGTGTGCAGCTGGAAGAAACCTTTCTTCAGCATGGAGGGTGTCCTGCAGTTTGATCTCCACCCCAAGGATGTGGTACTTGCAGCCTTGGGCATTTGCTCTTTGCTTCTTTTGTCCACGAGCACTTAAAAATTACCTGCTTTTGTCAATAAATGACAGACCCCGATCAAAAGGCAGAAGTGCTGAGAGCTGGGTGGACCTTGGCAAGGGGAGAAGGGAGCAGAGACTCATTCTCTGCAACTTCACATGTCAGCATGCGAACTGCCTCCAGCAAAAGATGGTCTCTGGGAAGTGTAAATTGTGGCTGAAATGGCAGCAAAGGTGGAGCTGCTGGCCAGAGGTGTCCTTTCAAGCAGAGGGGAAGGAGTGGGCAGCCTCAGAGACTGCTGCATGGTTAGGCCAGGACAGCTGCACTGTCCTCTGGAGGGACCTACAGCTCCCCGTCAGGTGAGGTGTCTGGGACAGACAGGTATCTGTTAGAAGCTGGGTGACATGGCTGGTGTCCACCAAGAAGAGCTGAGAAGGAGCAAACTAAGCTTTGTGACCACCAGCGAAGCAAAACTCCCAGTCTGGGAGTGATTGGACAAAAAATCCTGACTGAAGCTGCTACACAACTATCCCTGCTTTAGAACAGGCAAGGTGAAATGGACCACAACGTGACCTGAATTGTGCTACATTTTGAAGCCTGATTTCAAACTAATGTAGACCTAGTAAGTTTTTAGTTCCTGGAAGAAAAAAAGAAAGGGGAGAGAAAGTCCACAGTCAGCAATTCATGTGTAGGAATGGTGGGAAGTTCTGAGAGCCTTTGCCTTGCCCTTGGCAGGGTGACTGCTCAGCCAGGCTCCCCAGCAGCTGCCAGCAGAGTTTCTAACACTTGGAAACCAGCACATAAATCTGTACCAGTAGAGCTAAAAGAGCCAAAGAACAAAAGAGCAAAAGTGTGGCAGTGGTAACAGGTTGGTTATGGCTAATGGACCTGATCCTGAGAGTGGTGGTGCTGGACACTGAGCTCCTGCATGTGTTTTTTCAGGTCTTTCTGGTGGAGAAGGCGGGCAGGCGGTCCCTGTTCCTGGCAGGTTTGATGGGCATGTTAATCAGCGCCGTGGCCATGACAGTTGGGCTTGTGCTCCTGGTAAGGATTTCTCTCCATTTTTTCTCCCTGGTTTGAAAACAAAAGAAGATCCCATCAAAGTCAGGCCAAACCATTGCTGCAAGCCCCTGTCAAGATTAAAAAGCAAATAAGGGGTGGCCTCCTTTGCTGAACACCCTGGTTATTAAAGGGTGGCATTCTGCATCATTTTGCTGAGCTGCAGGCAAGGAGAGGGCTCAAAGTAACAGCTGAGCTGATGGCTGTGAACTCCTCCAGGCAGCAATGCTGGCACCAAATGTCCAGCCAGCACCTGGCACAAGAGTTTAAAACCTTAATTATTCATGTCCAGTTCCCCTTTGTCTGAATAGAAAGGAATTTCTGAAAAAGAAGCCTAAATAAAGTAATTATTGATAATTAATGAGAGTTACTTTGGGACTATAACACCAACTTCTTGCAGAGCCAGTTTGCCTGGATGAGCTATGTCAGCATGGTTGCAATCTTCCTCTTCGTCATCTTCTTCGAAGTGGGGCCTGGGCCCATCCCCTGGTTCATCGTAGCCGAGCTGTTCAGCCAGGGCCCGCGCCCTGCCGCCATCGCTGTCGCCGGCTTCTGCAACTGGGCCTGCAACTTCATCGTGGGGATGTGTTTCCAGTACATAGCAGTAAGAAATCTCTTAAATCATACAAATAAACAACTGGCACGATCCCATGTGAGTGTGCCTCCCAGATTTCCATGCCCTAGTCTGGCTGGGCACCTCAGCCAGCCGGGGTAGGAAGGGGAAGCCATCCCTGTGGTGCTGATGGTGGGTATCCCCATTCTCGCTCTCCCACTGCAGGATCTGTGTGGACCATACGTGTTTGCAATCTTTGCGGGTTTGCTCCTCATCTTCTTCCTGTTTGCACACTTCAAAGTACCGGAGACGAAAGGAAAGTCCTTTGAGGAGATTGCAGCTGTGTTCCGCCGCAAGAAGCTCTCGGCCAAAGCCATGACTGAGCTGCAAGACCTGCGACGCAGCGAGGAGGCATAGACATTCATGCACCCAAAAGGAGGGACTGGCCATGCACCTCCTTCAGGCACCATGGGAAGAATGTTGGGCAAAAGTCTCATTTCACAAAAACCTTGCAGCTGGCAGACCAAGAGGACACATCCATTGGATTTCTTCTGGCTGCTGTGGTTCACACCTCCCTGCCACAGGTGCTAACCTGGAATTTTCCTCTGAGACACTTGGGACAGCTGGGCTGCAGGAAAAGCTAGGGAAAGGACAGGAGGAGTACGGTACATGCACGTCTCAATGCCCTTCTGGAAGAGCCCAGTGGCACAGTGATCTTACCAGATGGCATTGAGCAGGGCTGTCTCTTAGCTGAAATGAAGGAAAGAGGGGCTGGCTGATGCTGCAGCCTCGAGTTTTCACTTTTTAATTCCCATCTCTCTGCTTCATTTTGCTGAGTGACCTGGTGCCTTTAAAATCCAACTGCTCATGTAGCTGTGCCACCAGCACACAACACTGATCACCTCAGGTGCTAAGGAAAACAGGTGGAGCAAACACCCCCTTACTCTTGCCTTCTGCAGAGGAAGATGGTGGATCCCACCTGAACCGGTTGGGATGCACTTCCCTTGCTTTGCTATCTGTGCATTATGGAAATGCTGTCTGATCTCGTAAGATTTTACTCAGTTGCAATAATTTCTTTGAGAATCTTAGAAACTGTGGCTGGGCTGATGGGCACTTTTCCTACATTTTAGCCAAACTATTTAGTTCTCTCTTTCCTCCCAGGAAGCCTCTCCCCCTTCTCCCAGCTGCAGCACAAGGCACAGCACAACACTGACCACACAAAAGGCCTGGGCACTCTTGGCCTCCATGTGAGGAGACTTGGGCCCTGCTGCTACCCCTTCCATGGTGTGACCATTGCCAGGGCACCTCCTTCCCCATCTGCACCTTCCTTCCCTTCCTTTCATACAGTGTTCAAGACCCACCGGCTCCAGGTCCAGCCAAAGGCTCAGGCTGCTCATTGAGTAACAATTAATGATGACCGAAAGAAGAAATGGGTATTGGAAGGTTAACTGGAAGGTGCCACTTACCTAACTCCCATTTTGCATCACTTAGCATTTTGCTGGCTGGGTGTGCTTCAGTCAAGATAGTGTGCAAGCAGGAGGTCATGCTGTTTCCACAACCTTGTTTGTGCTCCTTTTGCTTCTTTATGAGACATTTTTATGTGACAGAATCAAACTCCAAGGATTCTTCTTCCTTTTTTGGGGGCATATTTTGGAGCCATCGTAAAAGCCTGCTCTCTGCTTAAGATTTGCATGTTCCTTGTTGTGATACCAGGTTACTTTTTAGCAACTTTCTCAGGGTAGAAACACATTATTTATTTAGAGATGAAACACCAGCATTGCTTGGTCACTGTGTGCTCACCGTGGCTGCCGGTGAAGCAGTGGCCAAAATGTAACACAGGATCGAGCATAATGAAAAGCACAAAATAGATGGTCTGAGGAGGATCACAGTGCTGCTATGGGTTTGGTTTTAGGGGAGGTTCATGCTCCTTTCTATGTGCCTGAACTTTCTTTCCTGTGTAGACTTTACTCTCTTGGTATTAAGACCCTACAGCACACTCTGGTCTCTTCCAAGTGATGGGAATGCAGCCACAAGGTCCACTGGCAGAAATGCCTGCCCCTGGTGTGTGCACTGAAGCAGTAAGATTGCACCAAAGGCTTTGCTGGAGTAACTGCTGGGATTTAACTAGAGGAGAACTGGGTCAGTGCTGTCCTGTGCTGCAGTGGTGGGTGACCTGGGTCTGACACGGGCGTGCAGGGCTGCTGGAACCAGATCCCAGGCTAGGGATGGGAAGAGAGCAGCAGAGCTGCTGACAGGTCTGTGTCGAGCTGTCCCTCTGTGTGCTGCACACAGGTTCCCCCCAGGTGAGACCAACAGCCACAGCAGGCTCAGAAGCTCTCCACTGGCTATGTTTACCATAAGTTAAATATAATGGATTATCTGAATGTACAAAAAGGAGAAAAAAAGAGGATTCTTGCTATCAGCATTGTTCTCTAGGTCTGTTAGATAAAATATGAACAACATCTATGGCATGGGATGGCTTGTGCTGCTGTTTTTCCCCCCCTGTACATGTCAGACATACATCCAATACCAGATGGGAGCTACTTCCCGAGCAGGACACATTTGCTCCACAGGTGGTAAAAGCTGTGCAAGCTGTGCAAGCCCAAATCCCTTTGAAACAGGTGGTCCAGAGCTGAGACTTGGGGTTGGAGGTAGCCCTGGATCCGCTGGCAGCTGGCTTTGGGCTGGATGAACCCTGACTGGCACCCAGCTGTCCACACTGCCCACTTCACCCCACTGTGAAGCACCTCTGCCTGCATGGTGCTGGTGCAGCCTAAAACCTGGTGCTGGGGCCTCTGTAGGCACGAGAGGCAGGAGGAGCATTTGGGGAGAAGTGAGGTTCAAAGCAGATTTACTGCTGCTCTGAGGGCCCAGTCAGGCTGGATTCCCTGTGATCATACAGGGGGTATGAATTTATTTCCTAAAATTCTGCTAAGATTTGTCCTGTTGTCTGGGGGGCATCAGTGACTCTGCCAGCAGCTCAGCAGTGAGGGGCCTTATTGATCAACATTGAGCAGTCAGTCCTGGTTTTCCTGTGTCACTGGTAAATGACAACAGAAAGCCCAGTTCAGGTACTGTAGTGCAATACATAAATCAGTTTAGCAAAGCCCACAGTATTAACACTGCCCACAGTTACAACACTGAACTTCCCAGAGGAGCTGCCTGGGGGTTCAGAGGCACCTAAGGAAAATGGAGTGTCAGGCTGTGTTTCCTTGCAGCAGCTGCCATGTGGAAGGTAAGGGAGTTTATTCCTTTCAGCCTGGGACAGAGTAAGGCATTGCTGGCCCTTTGTCCTCCCCATGGCTGCAGTGAAGGATCAAGCTGGGCTTTACTATCACAAGAGCACTTTAACCATATGCCAGCACAGGATGGGGTCATTAGAGTTAGTTAAATCTGACTATATGTTTACTTTTGTCTCATCCCATCAGGCTGATAATTAGGACTGTACACTTTATCTGTCCTTGCTACATCCAAGTTCTAGTTAAAACTTGTTCTTGAGACACAGCTTGTTGAATCGTTATTTTTATCTCTCACCATTACGGTTTTACTAAGTTGCTAATCATTAAGAAAATTTAAAAGACCAAGTCAAACTTATTAGCTAAATGGTCATTGCATTTTAGTAACATGCTAAACATGTTTTCATACCACGCCTGGCTAATAATGCAATATAATTAATAATCCCTGAGAAAGCATCTTGTCAGCAAGAGCTTTGACAGTGTTTTCCTAATGTGCTGAGACAACAGCCATTAAGACTTTTCTGTTGTGCCAACAGTATCTAGTCTCCCACTCTCTAGGTTTAATTTTAAAATTAGTTTGACTTCCCTAATTCAATAAACTCAGGACATTTGGCCCCATTAACGCTCTCCACACTAATTTATCACAGGTTTTTCTGCCTCACTTCAACTTGTTTTCCATCACTGAGAAGCACTACCCTCTATCTCTGTAGTCAAACAGCTGATAATGATAAAGCTAACCCAAGTACTACTTATGCAGGGATAAATCCTTTGAGGTATGATATATTTTCTGAGGTGTTCAATGTCCTTATCTTTCACTGGAAATCTATGGGAGCTGAGGAATTTCAAGGTAGGATATCAGGTTGGGATACAGCAAAATGTGTAAGCATCAGATTAAATTAAGGTAACTGAGTGTTTAAATATTTCACTAAATCCTGAAGGGAAGGAATCTCCTCCCCAGCACTGGGGCAATAAATCCTGGCTGCAGATCAGCAGTCCTTCAGTTTTACAGGCTGTAGATACAACTGCAGACCTGAGGCTTGGGGAGTGTCCTGAGTTTTGCCTCCCTGCACTCTGCTCAGGAGAGAGAGCAGCTCTGTGCCTCTGATAAGTCAGGACACGGTGGGATCCCAGGAAAGTCAGCTCAGCAGCTGACACAGAGACACTGCTCAGGTTGGAACAGGGCTGTTTACACCACTCCGCTCATGACCTGGTATTTCTCATCGTGTGACCTGACCCCAGGGCCCAGGGGTGTAAACACCACCTCCTGCCTTTCATGGGCCAGCTGGAAACAGGTGAGATGTTTCTGGAAACAAGGTGGGATGTTTACCCCCAGCGCTGGCTGAAATTCATATTCTCAAGGCTGGGCTTTGATGAGGCACTTTATGGCATCAGACACTTCTCCGGGACACAACTGAGAACAGACACAGCTCACTAAATCTTCCTGAAGTTTTCTGGTCCCTCTTCACTCCTTAAAGACACAGATAGGAGAAGAAAAATTTGATAACATTCTGACCCTACTTGAGAGAAAAGGTGTGTGATCCAGCTGTGCAATACTGGAAAAAAACCACCTTTAAATGTGAAAGGCTGAGGTATTTTATTTACAAATATGTTTTGAATCAAGTTGCTGTTCTTGTATAGAAAAGTGGGGTAATCATATTAATACTATCAAGAACTGCACTTTAGAAAATTAACGTTGATCTAGACAAAGGAACGATACCTGCAGGCAATAACTGATGGATTGGATTTCCAATGTTTTTTATTGAATCCCAAATAAAGGCTGTCTCGGAATATTTGTTTTGGGTCTGAAAAAATAAATATCCTCTACAGCGCTCTTCAGTAAAAACACTTGATTTAGCCCAGAAGATCTCTCAAGTAATTAAAAATTAATCTGTTAATTGTGGGAAACCAGCCAAATTTATCAACTGATACTTGAGAGAAAAAAAGTCATCAGTAATGCTTAGCCCCAGGCTAAGCCCCAGTTTGGGTTCAGAACAGTTGGTCGTTTTCTCATAAAGTGTTTTTTTAGAAGATAAAAAGCCCTAGAGCATGTGCAACTGGTCACACAATTGGTAAACAAGCACACACTGCATGTGTTAAAACACTTAGCAGGATGTCCCAGATTCTGCTTATCAACGGAGCCAGCAGTAAAAGGGGCAGGATAAAGGGTATCATCTCCAGAGCAGGCTGGGTGAGGCAGCATCCAGGGAAAGCCCAAGTCAAGGAGAGAGTTGATGCTGGGACCGCATGAAGTGGCCCCATGGGACCTGGGACCACAGGCAAACAAGTCATAAAAATTAACACAGATTAAATAAAACATCTCATGGTGAACCATTAAAAAATGTGATGTTAAAAGTGACTTGTGTAGCTACCCCATCAGAGCACAGGTGACAAAGTCAGGGTCTCAGGGCAAAAAAATGTAGGACAGCACACAGCAGCCTGTGGTGGTGATGGCTGAGGCAGGTGCTGCCACTGAATTCCTGCATTTTCCTGGTTTTGTTGTATTTGCAGGCGATTTGCAGGGCACCCTACAGAGCCGGGGCTCATCTGCCAGCAGCTCACAGGAAAGCTCCTGGTGAATTTGTTCAAACAGCTCGAAGTATTACGACATCTGATTAGGAGGGATTTAGTAAAAACAGTCCTTTGGCCTCAGGACCCCCTGATCAGACTTCCTTGGCCACAGACCTGTCCTGAGGCAGTGCAGGGAATGGTTGGTAGACAGGATGAGGGCTGTTTAGAATAGTTTTGAATAGTTCAGAATACTTTGGATTGGAAAATCTCTTTAAAGAACATCTATTCCAAACCCCTACCACCGGTACAGATATGATCAGATTGCACTAGATCAGATTGTTCTAAACCCCATCCAATCTATTCTGGCCTGGAACACTTCCAAGGATGGGACATCCACAAGTCTTTCTGAACATGGTTTTTCCAAACCCACCCTCTTTTCAGTTTGAAACCATTGGCTCTTGTCCTGTTACTATAGGTCCCAGTAAAAAGTCTCTATTTTACACATGATCCTCCATTATATGTGGAAATACTCCAACAAGGTCTCCCTGGAACCTTCTCTTCTCCAGGCTGAACAACCCCAATTCTGACTTTCTTAACAGAGAATCATCTTCATGGTCCTCCTCTGGATCTGCTCCAACAGATCCATTTGTTTCTTATGGTGAGAGCTGGCCACAGTATTTCACTACTAATAATCCCACCACCATTAGAATATCAAACAGAAGCCCTCGGTAAGGATCTCGGCCATTTCCGTCCCTTTAGGCTGATTATAATGCTTTCAAAACGCTCGTTTCTGATTACTCTGAGTGGGGGCACACGAGGCAGCCGAAGGCGTTTTGTGTGTGTACTCACACACGGCTCACACGGCTTTGGGGACATTTTGGGGACATTTTGGGGACACACATTTCCCCCCAGGATCATCCAGCCCTCACGGCCGCCTCAGCCGCCCAAGATGGCGGCGCGGCGTGAGGGCGGGGGGAGGCGCCCCCTGGCGGCCCCGCGCGCCCGGGAGGGGGCGTGGCCAGCGCGCGCGAGTGGGCGGGCGCGGGAAGCGCCGCCGGCGCGTGGCTCGGGGGAGCGGCGGGAAGACCACGCCCCCCTCCCCTCCCCGCGGGCCAATCAGCGGCGGCGGAAGTGGCGGGGCGGGGCCGGAGCGTGCGCGCGCCGCCCGCGCCGCCCCTTCCCGCCCGCCGCCGCAGTGGTGTCGGGCGCGAGTGCGCCGCGCCCGCCGCTCCCGCCCCGCTCCCCCGGCACCGCCGCCACCCCCGGCACCCCCGATCCTCCTCGCAAGGTAACGGGGGCCGCGGGGACGGGAAGGGAGGGTGGGGCGAAGCGCGCCCGGGGGCGGGAGGCCGGGGGCCCGCGGCACGTGGCGGGTCCCGCCCGCCGCGCACGTGTGCGGGGCGGGGGAGCCCGGGCCGCGCTCCCCGCGGTGCGTGGTTGGGTCCGTGTCCGTCCCCCTCTCCCCTTACCGGGGCTCCGAGCCGACCCTCTCTCGTTGTCGCGCAGCCCCCCCGCCGCCAGTCCTCCCCCTCGCACCGCCATGGCCGACGAGCTCGACTTCACCACGGGCGATGCCGGCGCCTCCTCCACCTACCCTATGCAGTGCTCGGCGCTGCGCAAGAACGGCTTCGTGGTGCTCAAGGGGCGCCCCTGCAAGATCGTGGAGATGTCCACCTCCAAGACGGGCAAGCACGGCCACGCCAAGGTGAGCACAGCCCGCAGTGTGCGCTCCTGCGGCTCCGGGCTGGCCGGCAGGGAACGGTGTAGCGTTTCATTTGGCTCCGTGTCCCGCCTTTGCCTTTTTCGCAGCGGTGTCTCATCGCTCCAGAACTGGCTCGAGGGGTTTCAGTCCTGTAAAGCAGGAAGCATTGATGATGGGGAGGGGTTTGGTTTTTTCCTCCCAATTTTAACTCGCTAACGCTTTAATAAAAAAAAGTTTTAATGCTCATGGTGACACAATCAGTTTCTGTAGTGGGGGTAGAGTAAGCTCTGGAAGGGGGGGCTGATGAAATCACTAGGGCGTGGTTGGGTTGTGCTGTCGCTACCCACCAGAGCACTTCTGTGTCAGCCCGTGCCGGCAGAGTTTTACTATTGCAGCGTTGGACCGGGAGTGCCCGTGCTGTGTTACATAATCCAGAGCTCGGCGGACACGCGGTACTCTCTGGGCCTTCTCTAGCCCTGTTCTGCCGCCTTTGCCTCGCAGCTTCTTTCCTTTCTCCAGCACTGAGAGAGGAGTGCCCGTGTCCCAGCAGGGACCTGCTCAGCCGCTGTCTGGGGCTGCAGCCCCGCTGCCCAGGCAGTTGGCTCATGCAGCTGTCCAGAGCTTGGAGCAAGGCTGAAATCCCCCTTCATTCATTCATTCATTCATTCAGCCACACTTTAGGGTGGGCGTATCAGAGCTTAGAGATAGATCTGTTACAACCACAGAGAGATTAGTGAGTTTCCACAACGTTATGTGATATGCGTAAGGAAGTAGAGCGTTTGGGTTTGTCCAAATTAGAATAAACCAAGCTCTTCCTAGTTTTTTCCTTCCTCCTTCCCCTTTTTTATGGCTTGTTTTAATAGACAGATCCAAATTTCTTGAATACAGAAACAGCTGTCATACAGAAAGGATGTGAAAATAACTGGTTGAACTGGTCATCTAAGCTCTAGCTTCAGCAAGCAGTGCAACTGGCATAAAGGGAGGTGGGAGCTGCTGTGATCTCTCTGCATGACTATCCATTCTCCCTTAACTGCCTGTTTCTTAGAACAGCTAGATCTTAAACATGTTCTTAACCACTGTGAACTCTTAACTTGCTGCTGTAAACCTACAGAAGGCGGTGGAAGATAAAAGTGGCCAGTCTTGCTCTCATGTAGGGTTGCTGTAGTGTGCTGTGGAAGGGAGTGAGAGGCCCCCTCTTGATGTGAGGGATGTTTTCATACCACAAGCAAAGGGTTGAGGCACAGTTTGGGATTGCATATGATCTCATGGGAAACTGAGTGGAACCAGCAATACTGGTGGCAATAACATCTTGTTTCTCTAGGACTAACAGTAACTGAAGCTATTTTTCTACTCTTACAGGTCCATTTGGTTGGTATTGATATCTTCACTGGTAAAAAATATGAAGATATTTGCCCATCAACTCATAACATGGATGTCCCAAATATCAAGAGGAATGATTACCAGGTGAGTTAAGAGTCATAGGAGGTTTTATACTCTTAGTACCACACACAAACTCTCTTCATCCCCAGATTTGCTTCTCAGTAAAGTACTGTTGTCAGACTTAATGGGCCTTGCCTGTCTAGACACGACATAGGTGAACTCATGGCATTTACGGAATTGCTAAAACTGACGAAACTCACTGATGAAGAGAGAGCTCCTCAGTGTATAAACAACCTCAGGTCAGAGTAGCAGTCTTTAAGTATGACAGTTAATAGACATAATTCATACCATGCTTTTTCTGGCTATTGTTATAAGGCCACTTCTGGATTCTTTGTGGTACTGGGATACTTTAGACTAAAGAGAGGTTTTCCTTTCTAATAAGTTAATATTAGTTAAAGGAGAATCAAGAGCTCACATAATTAAATTTGTATCCCAGTATAAATTGTCATTTATAGTTTCACTCTTACATGGGGTAGATGAATCCCCAAAACAGTCCTAAATGGCATCTGATGTGAATTCTAACTTGCCAGAGTTTCTGCTCCTTATGGGGAAAGTGGCTTTCGGTGATGTCAAATAGTTTTGAAGTTCCTGAAGTCTACACTGAAATACATGTATAAAGGGAGCAACTTCTGTAATGCCTTCTGTGATATGGTTGGTGTGCTCTTAAAAGCATAGTTTAGGTTGAGTTGTAAAACATTTGCTGTGTTCTCATTGCATGGGAAATAGTTTTGGTCAGGAGCTGACACATCCCCATAATCTGGAAAGCTGCAATTGCTTGACAAAGGCCAAGTTTAGTGTTTTAGCAAACAGTCTTTAGTGTCTTCAGGACAGCTGATGCTGCTGGAGTAAAATGTGACCAGCCTGTCTAAGGGCTCAGACCTTCCAAGAAATTCTTGGTGTTATCTTGGTTCTGGGATTCTAATTTTTTGGATTTAGTGTTATGTGGTCCAGTTTCCCCAACTGCTCTGTCAAAATAGCCAGGCTTTTTGGTTAGGCTGAAAACAGCATTATAAAAATGGTCCAGGGCTTGGTGGATGATCCCTAATCTATTAGTGTTTAATGTAAAAGATAGTATCTCACTGGAGAGATGCAGCTAGAGAAGTGTATGGTTACACTGTTGCATGTTTTGTACATTTTATACAAGCAGTGCTGTTGAGTGAATACCATTCCAGTTACTGTTTCTAATTCAGTGATGAAGAAAGCTGAACCACTGACCTGGAAGCAGTACATTTCCTAAATCACACAGACCGGGTTTCTAGTGTCTCACCTACTAGGAAGTAACCAGCAGAATTCTGTTGGTTCTTGATAGCAGAATGCCGTTTGCTACAGTTGCCCTAACTCTCAGCTCCCTGAACTTCTGTTATAAATGGATTTAAGTAAGATTTTTAACTGTTACAGATTACTAAAGAATTACTGTAACAGGTGGAGTTCACTGCCTTCTGTTTACATTAAGCTACTACCTGCTGGTAACTGCTGATGTTAAACTTCTAAAAATGCACCTCTCTTTGCAGCTGATAGGCATTCAGGATGGGTATCTCTCCCTGCTGACAGAAAGTGGTGAAGTTCGTGAGGATCTAAAGTTGCCAGAAGGGGATCTTGGCAAAGAAATAGAAGGAAAATTCAATGCCAATGAAGATGTGCAGGTAAGTAGGGAGGGCAGACAAGAACAGTTATGGTTGATCCCACTTGATGATACAGTGGAGAAGTCGTACTCTGATATTGACACTTGTATCTCTTTGTGAATTGTGGGCTTGAGGGGTGGGGATTGGTCCTTTGAGATGCAGGAGGATATTTGGACTGGAGCACTCAAAGGAGATAGGACAGATATGAAAATGTGAACGTTTGTACTTTCTAGGAGCACTTCTGTGGCCTGGCTGGAGCTCACCTCTGTGTCTTCTCTTCCAGATATCTGTCATAAGTGCAATGAATGAAGAATGTGCTGTAGCCATAAAGCCTTGCAAGTAAAGAAGATTGCCAGGCTCGGGCAGCTGCTCAGGTCTGGAGAAACCACAGATCTATAAATTTGGTCCTTATTGTCACCAAAGCTCTGGCCTTCACAAGCAACCTCATTTCCTTTTTGAATTGTTAAAAAGCAGTGCTGGATTCTGGATTAGTGTTGCAGGCTAACTGGCAGTTTTCAAAATCACTGAGATTTTAATTCCTTAATTGTAACTATTTTAACATTCCTGTGGGTTTCAGCTATGGATCTAAGAAACCAATCAGGTGTTACTAGTGGATATATTTTTATTTGCTTGAGCAAAACAGTGTTTGTCTGTATGAACAGACAAAATACAGTATTCAGGGGCTTTTAGATAAGCTGGTAGGTATCTAGGATTATAAAGTGACCTAGAGCACAAATAGTATTTTTCTTGACATCTTTAGGTAGAACTGACAATAAAAGTAGCTTTTTTTTTTTTCCCTTTTTTTAAAGCTTAAGTACTTTGTGGATTGGGACTCTTGCAGAACTGTAGGTGCCAATCACAACTTTTAGACCAAGAAACTCAAGTGATCAGAAATGCCAGCTGGCTTGACCAAGCCCCAGTGGCCATGTGCAACTAAACTGTATTACCTCTGTTTTCTTCTTTGCCAACTTGTTGGCTTATTGTAACGATAAAATGGTTTAAAAAAAAAGCCTACCTGTGGTTTAGGCAGGTCATTGGAATATTGAGTAGATAAGACATAGATAGGTCAAGGGAACACAAAGGTGAGAATGGATGTTAAAGCTATAGACTTTCACTCGAGGCCTTTGTCAGACTTGAAAAATAAAATAGAAAAATGCAGTTCAATTGCTTTCCTTTATTATATTTATCTTAAACTATAAAAGGGTGACAAACTCCATGGGAATCTGTTGCAGTGCTTCCAGCTTTAGGTTTTAACCTTCAGGTTCAGACCATATTTTTGTAGCACAGGGACCACACGTTTTTCAGAAAGTGGGACAAACTGTAGCATTGAGCCTAAACTAAATGCATGTGATTTTTTTTTTTTTTAATAAAACTTGTATTTTCAAAACATAAACTTGACAGACGATACCGAACAACCACGGCTTCACTATAAAAGTAAATAACTTGCTACCTAGTTAGGGAAGCTGGCTCCTGTCCTGGGGAGTTCTGAGTCATAGCAACATGCATGCATGCCTCTAACTATTTAGTAGCTTAACAAGGCTTCACAGCAATAGTTATGGAAGGATAACTAGCCTGCTCCTGTCTAAGGTGTTCAACTTGAATTCTGAAACTTGGTGACTCTTCATGAGTGTGGAAACTTCCTTAGTCCATGGCTCAGACCTCTCTTCACAGCTGATAATTTGTTTCATGAACTTGCCTTAATGCTCAGTGGCTGATGGAGGATGACACAGAAGCTGCCCCGGACAGCACGCACAAGTCACACTACTTGGCAGCCAGAGTTGGACTCCATGCTGCTCTTAACTGCTTAAAATGTCTTCAGCTTCATAGTTTGTACTCTCTAGTCCCCAAAGGGCTCGTGGCAACTGTCCTGAGCTGCCCTTGGCCACACTGGGGCAGGGCTAAGCAAACCTTGGAGGTGTAATGCAGGTGGCAAAAGCATTCGTTGTCCACAGACTTCCCACGCCAGGGAGAGCAGTACCAGTGAAGGTAAAGACAGCAATAAATACACTCTGGTAATAAAGCACAGCTGCCTGGGACACCTGGCAGAGGTAGGACCTGCCACACGCTCTTGCCTAGCACAAAACATGTTGCAGGTGAGCTCTAGAAATAGCACCTTGACTGAAATGGCAAAGCTTCTTTTAAAAGAAGCTCTAGATTGAAATGCTTCCAGAATAGTTGTGGAGTGGATGAGGAATAGTTCAGGCTAGTCTGCACTGTGCTCCCTTCTGCCTCCCCATCAAGCTGGTACCTGGAAGTCAGGCTTTGTTGGCTTTGGAGGTGACTAACCATTGCTGGTGATGCTGACAGCAAGCTGAGCTGTGGTGCCACGTGGGAGGCCACAGGTTGCTATGTCCAACTAATGCAAGTTTTATCACCATATTATAAATACTTCCAATATGCTTGAAGACTGCAAGACTTGAATTTGTTCTTGCTCTGGCAGTGCTTTAGTCTATTTTCAGGTTCCTGTCTGTCCTCTAAAACCTTGTTGGAAGACAGGTTCCTGATGTCACTGGCCCACAATCTGAGCAGTTACTCGGACTAAGCTTCTGGGACCAGGGCTGGTTTAAGCCCTGCTCCTCCAAGTGGAGTCCTGGCTTGACTGGAGTTTTCAGGTACTACAGCAATCTGAGGAGAGAGGTTTCCTGACCTCCAGCTTGCTGGAAGAGCCCTCCTCGGGACTTTCAGATGTCCTTCTATTGCAACCTTCAGTTCTGCAAGATTTTAATGATTAAGTACTTCATTATAGGTTTGTTCTTATATACTTAGTTGTCTTTGTGAAGCACTTCAGACACCATGGAAGTGCAGAGCATCATGCATGAACTTTCCCATAGGTACATAAGCATGTCTTAAAGCATAATCTCCAAGTTTCAGTAAGGTTAAAAGTTGCTTCTAAATGAAAACATTGTATTTGAAGCATTTTTTTTTTTCCAAACTAAGACGCTTCAGTTTCCTGTCAGAATCGTTGCAATGAACTTTGTGATCAGTAGTCCATAGAGATGTGTATTTTTAATATCCATAACCAAGTGCTTAGGGAAGTTCTCCTTTCATAGCTTTATTTTAAAACAGATCTTACCAGTGTATTTGTTCTGTATTACTGTCTTAACACTTAAATTGTGTCAAAACCATAAACTTCTTATAGCTGATGGCAATTGCTCAGAGTAAAGCCTGTGAACACAGGGAGGTGGTGAGAGGTATTTCCACTCCAAGTAATGCGTTTTTTTATGGCTCCTGTTCATTGAGTTTCTCTTACTACTTCACACAATTGGAAAGAGTGCAGTGTTTTCTGCCTCAAATGTTGGCAAGTAATACTTTGAGAATTCAATAGATCCTTTTAATTTTTGCTTATAATGATGGTTTTTCAACTGGGCTCTTGCTGGTTGAGCCATGTTCTCAGGGCTGTTTTTTTTAAGCTGAAGTTCATTGTTTCTCTTGCAGGTTTTTCTAATCTGAAGTGTACCCAGAAACGGTGCACGGTCTGTAGTTTCTCAATACAGATAATTTTACATAATCTGTAAAGAAGTCAAGTCTGTTGACAGTTCTAACTCTTATGGTTACTGCAGGTCAGTCTCACAGAATTCGAAATTCAATAAATCCCACTATTTTTTTTTTTTTTTTTGGTTGAGTAATTAGAACGTAGTTTGTTACAGTAGAACTAAACTTCAGGCTATAAAGAGACCTTGTTCAGGATATTTCGAGTATCCGCTGGGAATGTTACTGAAAGTGTGGATCCTGGAGGCGCTCCAGCTCCCGCACTGTGGCCCTGCAGTATTTGGCATCCGAGAGTGACTTGGTTTGTTGAGCTCCAAGGAAATGTTTGCTGTGCTTTGCTGTATCGCAGAACCCCTTTTGTCCTGTGCTGTGTGTTGTAAGCAAACCTGGCTGCTCGTGGGACAAACCCGACCCTGGAACCGGCCCCGGCAGCTGCGGTGTCTGTTTTGGGAAGCTCTGTTACTGTTCTCAACACCATGGAAACGATCAGGGGAAAAGATTTGTACGTGTGTGTGTGTGTTTTGCTCCAGAAATAATAAAGGTGTCAGTGCTGTGGGGAAATGGTGCTGGTTACAGTGACGGGAGCGCGGTGGGGCTGCCAGGGGGGGTTCGCAGACACTTTTAGGGGCGGGGGCGGGTGGTTGCGGTTGTGTGGGAGGAAGAAGAAGGCGTGCGGGAATAACGCTGGGAACGCCACAGGGCCTTCCCTCACGCCAGCCGCCATCTTCCCGGCATGCGCCGCGCGCCGACGCGGTGACGTCACCGCCGCGGGTATAAAAGCGCGGCGTGGCCGGGCGCGCTTCCTTTCTGCGGGAGCGGCGCGGCGGGAGCGCTATGGCGCCGGTGAGAGTGGGGGGAAGGCGGCGTTTTTAAATAAAAACGGGGAGCCGGCCGGGGGAGCCGTGGGGCGGGTGAGGAGCCGGCGGCCGCCCGGTGCGAGCGGGGCTTTCCCGAGAGGGTTTCGTGTGGGAGGCGGCCGGGCCGGGCCGGGCCGGGCCGGCTGCAGTGAGGCGCGCTGGCCGGGAGGTGGCGCTCCCGCTGCCGTGTGTGCGGCGCGGTTGGTTAATGGTGAAAAATCTTTCGGCGTTGGTTAATGGTGAGGAATTCTTTGGTGTTGGGTTAATGGTGAGGAATTCTTTGGTGTTGGGTTAATGGTGAGGGATTCTTTGGTGTGTTTTCAGCAAAAGGACCGAAAATCCAAAAAGTCAACCTGGAAGTTTTGCCTCGACCTGACCCATCCTGTGGAAGATGGAATCTTCGATTCCGGAAATTTTGTAAGTCGTGGTTTCGCTCATACTAGTGACGCATGGTGTAATAAAAGGTTTAGTGCGGTAACTGAGTTACACTTGAAAAGCTACATTCTAAAGTAGTTAAATCGTCTGCTGTTCTTTAAACTACGATTATTAAAAAAAAAAAAAAGGTTTTATAGCATGCTTCACACTTGTCTGTAAATAGAACTGTTTTAAATTAATTTCTGCTTTAACACGGGGGTGTTTTTTTAATAATTATGTGCTGTAAAATATTTTTTGTGTTCTAAATGTTTCTGTCAGGACATAAGTAAATGGTGGTTTTTAATGTTGCTTCCTGACTAGGGTCCCTTCCCTAGTTCATACCTAGGGTGCCATTCCCTAGTGTTCTATTTCCTTAATGTTGAAACAGGAACAGTTCCTAAAGGAGAAGGTTAAGGTCAATGGGAAAACTGGAAACTTGGGCAACACTGTTCACATTGAACGTCTGAAGAACAAGATCACAGTGACATCTGAGAAGCAGTTTTCTAAAAGGTTGGCATGGGTGTCATTCTGTTGTGTTTGTGGGGTTTTAACTGTGGGATGTTGAACATAAAACAAGAGTAATTTAGCTTGGAAGAGATCCCTACAATCACCAAGTCCAGCCATAAACGTGACACTGCTAAATCTGTCACTAATCCATGTCCCATAAACACACATTAACATTCAGCTCTTGCCTGCAAAAGGAATTCCAATTAGTGCACTTGTGATACTTCGAGAGGTATTAGCTCTAACCTTCATAGCACTTGTAAATATTAGTGAAACATGTAATTGAAACAGATTTATTATATCAGATATTTAAAAATTGCTTTTTAAAACTCAAGGCTTGATTGCTAATTAATGTTGACTCTGAGGATATTAATAGAGATACTTTATATAGGTCCTTAGCAGTGTATCAGTGGAAGATGGACCTTTAAAATAACACTGAATTAACATAGTGGGTGGCTGTTTGATTATTTAATTGGTTGTACTATAACGAATGTGAGCATGATGTGGGTTGTTGCAAACAAGCCATTCAAGCCCTTAAACTGTTCAGTTTGTTAGGACAAACAAGAGCTGAGTACACTGATGGGAGGTACAGATCCTTCCCTGCATCCTCCCTTTGTTTTCTGATACAGGTGCAGCAGAATCTGTTGTGTTAGACCAAGGTTTAGAACCAGTTACCAGTGTTTTCTGGTTACTGGCATTTTGCTGTGTAGTCAAATGAATCATAAATTCCTACGTATCTGTAGTGAAAATGGGCTTTTATTGCTTGTGTGCTTATATTGCCAGTGTCATTACTGTGGTCTGCCCTGCTCAAGACATTGTCTTGGGTAGAGTGCAGACAGCATTGGGGTAAAGGCTTCTAAGGTGCAGTTCCTGGTTTGCAGGTACCTGAAATACCTGACCAAGAAGTACCTCAAGAAGAACAACCTGCGGGACTGGCTGCGCGTCGTCGCGTCCGACAAGGAGACCTACGAGCTGCGCTACTTCCAGATCAGCCAGGACGAGGAGGGCTCCGAGTCCGAGGGGTAACAGCCCTGGCTTCATGCTCAGTGCAGAGTACAAAAGACTAGAACATCTATTTATATCTTTAACTTATTGGTGAATAAAGATTTTGTACCCTGTTGGACAGAGCATGGTTGAGTTTTCTGGTATTTTTCTTAAATTCTAATTAGAAAACGGCACAGGAACGGTTTGATTTGCAGTTTTCCTTCCACTGCCAGGAGTCAGCTGTTCAGTTGGCACCAGTGAAAGTTCCAGTAGGAAAAATACTGAGCCCTTTGCCCAGTAGGACAATTAAATCAATTTTTAATCACATTGATACAAATAGTTCTAGAGCTTGTGACTGAAAGTACCAGCTCCTGTGAATTTATGTGAAGGTAATGGCAAAACATTTAACACAAGTTTACTTATCGTTTGGCTTAAAATAGGCTTGCAGATAGTAACTTTTTTTTTTTTTTCTCTGTGTGATATACCTCATTCCCTAATGGCTTGTGGTATTACTGTGTGTAACCACAAGTAAGCTGAAGTACAACAAAGATCTTACAGGTTTATATGATTGATAAATAAGGAGGTGGAAACAAGCCTGATTACCAGCAATCAGCTAAAACATCTTAAAGAAAGGACTGAGATGCCCTTCAATATTGACAGTGCCTGAATCCCATAAAATCTGCAGTGTTTCTCTTTTTATGGTGTATTTTACAGTTCATGCATTAGACTTCTGGGATTCTTTCTTTAAAACAGGTATTTTCTCTAGTACAAGTGGGAGTTCTTCACTGAAATAATTGCATAACTATGAACTAGTTCTTCATATAATATTAAGAGAGATTTGTGTTTTCATTATGAAAAAAGTGTGAGACTGCACTTGCAGTAACTTGCATTTAGATGCTTTACAGTGCACGGGTGGTTTTCTTTTTCTGAAAATCCCAAAGATCACTAATGCTGTTACAGAACATTTACAGTAATTAATACTGTGTTGAACAAGCCACGTTTTTTCATGGTAAAGCTGCAAGTATTTCTTAAATTCATCTGTCTCCTTTGCTGCACGAAGTTAAGCAGAGGGCCTGACTTTACAGTTCCATTTCAAAACCCAGCCCCACCTGGTGTTACAGAGCGTTGCTTTTATGTGACAACATATCCTTTACAACACACTGACACAACAAACCTATTGTGATTAAATAGAACAAGCACCAACGTGTGTGTGTGTGTGTTAACTGGATCTAGAGTGCTTAATAAATGTACTGAAATTTTCCTTTAGATCCAGCCAGGCATTTTTTTTATGTCCTGGTGTTGCTGCCCAAGCTCCACTGGGCATACCCAGAGCTTCCCTTCCTGAGTGTGGGTGCTTTTACAGCTCTTCTGCAGGTAGGACTTTTATCAGGTCATGGTGCATGTATGTGATAGACATAGAAATCACAAAAGGGGGTTTTAAATGTAAATGGAGCTTTTACAATATTATTGTTTCATGGGGAAAATAGCTGGAGTCTACAGATGAGACTCCAAGCAACACGTCAGAAAAATTGTGATTTTTCCATAATATGTTTTTGCAGCTGAAGTGGCCAGGTGTGATGCAGGTGGCAGGCAGGAAAGAAAGCCTGTTATTGTTCAGATGTAAATTTTTGCAAATTACCTAGATTCGAGTTGAATCAAGGTTTTTTAAAAGCCAGAGGTCAGTATTTCTGTGCTTTTAGGCAAGCAATAACTCAGCCAAGTGCCTGCTTTGCCAGTTGTTTCTTTCCACCACAAACTGCTGTGAAGTCACCAGTTTTGTTCACGTTTGTTTTGAAAGTTAAAAGATCCCAAACAGCTTGATCACACACAGGATTGACTGTTGGAATTTTCCATGTTTAGTGCTGGAGCAGAGCCCAGAAAAGCCCTGCTCGTGTGAGGGCTGGGCTCTCCTCAGAGCAGCAGGGATGTGCTCCTGTGTCAGCCACGGGGTGAAGCTGTTGCGACCAATAATGCACCCACAGCACTGAGGCTGCACAGGTGACAGCAGCTGCTGCCACGTTTGGTGGCCATAGAAATGCCCCAGTCCCAGATGATGCTCGGGTTGTTTTAGGATTTCCAGAAGGGGTAAGCACCAAATCCAGCAGGAGTGAGTGCTCCAGGAGCACCACTTTGCCTCCACGCAGCTGAGAGCCCTAGTCCATCAAGTCACAGGTTTAATTTGGGAAGATAATCATCGCATGTCGTGTCTTAAATTCTTTTTGCCAAGGATGGGATTAAATGTGTGAGATGGTATTTCTTGTTGGGACTCAGATGTTTATTAGTTCTTGTCTATATTACAGTCTCACAAACTGGAGTTCTACAGCACTTTAACAAACTAAAAATGGAGCCCAATCTCTCTCTCTCCAAGGCCATTAAAGGATAAACTGTCCAAATAAGAAATGACACCTAAATTATTTTTACTTTTAACCCAATAACCAACCACCCATGGCCTGCAATGCAGACCTTTTTATTGAATTACATGAAACCACTCAAACCCATGGAGAAGAAGGTGAAGAAGGACCAGCCTCCACCCTAAAACCTCCATCTTGCTTTATATATATTACTACATTCTAAAACCTTAAACTCTAATTTTTCCACTATGTGATATCACACGCTTCTATTCAAGCTATACACCCGTAATCCCAGTTCTATCATTCCATTCTGGAAGCTTCTCCACAGCCTCAGGTCAATGCAGTGTTCTCCTGGGGGTCAGTGCCTGTCAGCACAGAAAATGTGAAATTCTCTGTAACCAGGGTTCCAACAATTACAAAACATCAATTGCACTGGTAGCACAGCAAATGGGCTGGGGCCAGCTTAGGGCTCAGGAGGGCAATGGCACCATAACTCTTAAAATGTTTTAATACAGCAGAGATACTTACATAAATATATTTTATAAATATATAAATAAAATGTGAGATATGTTCCCTTTTCAATAGTTTTCCCCTTCATTTCTCAAAAAATGGTTTCGCTGCTGTCTTCCAAATAAAATCAGCTTATGAGAGACATCCCACACATGTGAAATTCTGGTGTCTGTCAAATAAGAAGAAACAGATTTTAAGCACAAGTGGCTGTTGCCAGAGCAGCAGTAGCAGCACCACATAGGCTATTTATGTGTGAGCATACAGAGATATTATTTTTCTGCACTGCCAGTCTTTTATCACTTTTGCTGCAGCGAAACTCTCACTGTCTTCCATTTAAAAAAAGAGCAACAAACCCCACAAGATTTCACAAATTTTAAGCATCACTAATAAAGTTACTTCTAATGTGTTTGTATGCTTTCTGTCTGCTTGTCCTCCTGGCCAATAACCCCGTCAGAAAACAGCTTCATTAAATATCCAGGAATAGTAAGATCAGAAATAAAGAGGTAAATAATAGCAGGAAATAGCTGAAAATGTGTTGTTTACAATATACTCAGCATGTGGCAGGTATTAAAGGAGGTGCAGACTCAACACTGTCACATTATATCAGCACAAAGTAATTAGAAACAGAGAGGCCCATGGAAAAATAAATACTCAATAAAAGCTTGTATGTACCCAGCAGCAGGAAATGAGGTTCAGTGGTGGAGGGATCTGATTACACCAAATATAGACAAAAATAAGAAACAATTCTTGCTTTTTACGGGCAAAAACAGAGCAAAGGCTTCTTCTTGGACAGAACAGAAGGAATCAAGTTACCTTCTCATTTTGCATAATATAATATTTACATATACTCTACATAGGTATCTATTTTATTTATCCATTATCTTTTGGTGGGCTCTGGGGCTGCCTCGGGTGTCCTGGTGGGGCTTGGCAGGGATTCATGTCAGCACCATCCTATTGCAGCAACTCAATCCACCCAGCCCATCCTGCTGCCTCTGACTGCTGTCCTGCAGACACAGGAATAACTGAATTCCTGTGGGATGTGCATTTCTGTCAGGGTGCTGGCATGAAGCCCCTTCTGGGCTTGCCTTGGCACTGTGGCTGCTATTTGAGCCCTAACTCGTGCTGGCTGGGAGGAGTAACCTGGGGTAACTGGGACAGTGGCTGTAACATGCCCCACATTTGATGCAGCTGGATCCCAGGAAGTCCTCATGGAGGAGATTGATTGATTGATTCATTCCAAGGGTTTCTGGGAAGTTTCTGTGACCACTCTGAGCCTGGAAACTGCCCCGAGCAGCATTTTGTACCTGAATCCCTTTGGTCTGGGCATAAATAAACTCACAAAGCACTAAGGAGCCAACAGACAGGAAAGATTTTCCATTGCTGTCCATCCATTCTGGATTTAAATGAAAAATTAAAAGAGAAATGCTTTAATAGGTTATTAACAATATTATTTTTAAAAAATTATATAGCTTAATGTGTCAAGGCAGTCAAACACCCCATCCCAGCAAGCATTAAAGCATTATTTAAGCCTCACATTTGTTATAAGGTTTTTGCTGTCAGGCTGGGGGTTTAGCAGGGATTTTAAATGGGATCATGGGACAACAGGAATTTTTTTCAGTGGGCACTGTGGCTCAATCACCACGCTGATGTTCCCTGCACACCATTAGGATGCTCAGCCTGGCCTCCAGGTGCCAAAGCCCAGAACAGCATCAGCATCTTCTTAATAGCTGGCACAGGGGACAGGGAAAGGACAGAAAGCACTGAAAAATAAACACAGCAAAGTGCACAAACAGCAGAATTGAAACCAAATAGCTACAACTCTTCAGTTTGATACAGAAGAGAAAATGCTTCTGGGATCTCTGCTGGGGAGAGCCCAGTTATCCCCCACTTGTTGTCCAGGACAGATAAGGGAGTGTTCAGCCATCCCTGTTCCCAACCTGATAACATTTTCCAGCAAAACTGCATTCATCAGTCTTCCTCCTTCCAGCTCATTTAGAAATTATTTACACTGTTGGCCGATAAGGGTCCTGAGATAAGGGGTGGTTTTGCTGACACACGAGGCCATAAAGCCTCTGTGCTCCTGCCCCAGCAGCTGTTCCAGGGTTCCTCCTCCTGCCCCAGCCTGCCATGCTGAGACCCCCGGGGGGAAAGACCCCCCCATGCCCCCCAGCTGCAATGGGGCACTGCAATGTGTGTGGGGCTGGCAGGAGTCACTTGCAGAGCCTGTGGGTGGGCAGCAAGGAGCAGCTGCACTGGGGTGAGGAGCCTGAAGCCCAAAACAGG